GTTATTCGTGAAATCTCCTATGATTCAAATGTTGTTCTTCATGAAATCTTCGCTGATAAAAAACTCAAGAAGGTAATTTCGTGTTGGTGTTTTTTATGTGGTGTTATATTACAACAGTGGTTTTTTTTTCTTTAATTTTGATAGTTTATTATGTGGCATCGGGTGAAAAATTATTTATTTTCAGGAATATGTGTTCTCGAGAAGATTCGGAAGACGATGATTTTACAGAGAAATCGCCGAACCAACTACAAACTATGTTGAAAACAGTGAAGTATACGGAAGATAAAAGGAAATAAACACTCCAGAACACTTGGAGTTTTGGTCGATGGATGCACGAATACTGATATTGCGATCGGCGAAACTTTCAGAGATAAAAGTGTCTGTGTGTCTTAATGCTTCAATTAAAGGGTGGAATCATTGTAGGTCTATTATTGTTTTCGATGGTACTTTCCTTAGTTCCGCATATGGAGGTACGCCAAGACCGGTGTTTCAAATGGGGTGTACTTTGACGGTGGCGAGATGGGCTCTGTTTATGGCCACGTGACTGTGACGATGGGAGTTTCAGTTCAGATGATCTGAGTTATGGCAGTGATTTGATGTTTGGTATGAGAAAGCAAATCTTTGGCAAATAAATCAATATATTCGTCAATGGCTTGTGTGTGATAATATTTTGTTTATCTACCGTTTATGTTCAGTATAACTTGTTATGCTTATGTGTGATCTGATTTTTTTTTTTTTTGGTTGTTTATCTAACGTTTACATTCTGTATATAAAAATGACGAGAATAAGTAAATAAATACAATTAATATACTACAATTTACAAAAGTGTATATCATGTTCCAACATATACGTAATATACACGCAATATATATTGTTGTTTATAATTTAACAAACATATCCTTTAGGAAATACTTTGTTAAGCATTTACTTTAGCATATACGCAACATATTTACCATACAATTATGTTAACACAACATTTACTTTATTAAATAGAACAATACCATCTAAAGGGATACGGATACCCATTTGTTTTCTCTTAATTAAACGCCACATATAGTTATATTGATAAACATCAATGTAGTAAATCTTATGTAATATTGTTCATACAATAGAAAAGTAGTTTGCTATAAAATAACAGACGTGTATACTAAATATTAGATAAACATGTGGTTCTTCATACAACAACAATGTATACTGAAAATAAACATTAGATAAACATGTGCATACCCATACAAGTTTTATAATATACAGTTGGTCAATTTGCTATAAAACAACAGACATGTATATTAAAAATAAACATTAGATAAACATGTGCATATTCATATAACAGTCATGTCTACTAAAGATAAACATTATATAAATGTGTAGTCAAACACATCTTTCCCCCATGGATATTCATCAACTCGTTACTATCAATTGTGTCAAGATAGCGTTTGTCAAGCAACAGTGTGTCCTGGGCTTCCAATAAAAAATTTGCAACCAGGTGGAAGTTTGCAGACTTGACCGCGTCTTGATCATTCTTCCATACCTTTGAGATAAATTGACTCCGTATGTAGTGTCTGCTCAATCGAAACCCGAAAAAGTATGTGTCCTAGAGACCGCCACTCACTATGGGGAAGAATAATTTCTTGCTTGCAGAGCCGGCCCTGGCCCAGGGCAGCATGGGCTACGGCCCAGGGCCCAAACTGATGGAGGGGCACCAAGTCAACAACAGCCCATATATTATATATAGTTACTATATGTGTTTATTTAATGTAATATTAAAGAAACAAAGCCCAATTTGGCGGATGGGGCACAAGCAGCAAGCCCATATATTATATATAACTAATATGTACCTTTATTTATTATTTAAAATTTTAAAAATGAAAAAGAAAAATTGTAAATATGTTTTTAATCACAGCAAACAAACTCAATTACTCAACCACTCTTCTCTTATTTTTATCCTCTCTTTGTCTGTTCATCTTCCCCAATCTCCATCTTTCTCTTATTTCTCAAATTTTAACGGTAAAGTTAATTTACTTTTCCAAAATTTATGTTTTCCCTTTCAACCTTTATTTTTCTTATTCACCATTGGTCCCTCTTTTCTTTTCTTTTTTTTTTTTCAGCATCACTTGCTTAAAAAAATGTTAATTATTTTCAACAATTTTAGGATATTTTGAATCTTTTATTTAAAAAGGTTTATTCTAAATAAAATTTGATATATTATACCCGTTTATTTCATTATCGACCTAGTTTCGGCCATGTCATACGGACAATCCTACCCAGCCGACAGGAAAGGTGATTATTTGATGCATCCAAAATTGTTCTAGAGACATTATTTTTCTATTGAAGGACTAGTGACATCATCTTTTGGAATGTGAAAGCGGCTCGAGACATTATCCTTGTGTATGCTTTATGAGATTTCTATTAGACCCTTTGTCTTTAACTTTTGTGGTGAAGTTGTAATAAAATATTATACAAAATTTACTTTTTAGAAAAAAATATTGGATCGTTGTTGGTATTATTGGAAATGCATCATCTTATTTCTTAGAGAAAACGAAGTACTTGAGGCACTATTTTTCGTATTTAGCCCAGGGCCTACTAATGTTCAGGACTGGCTCTGCTTGCTTGATCCAATGCATTTCATTCCTGATATCAATGAAAACTTTTCGATGCCAAAACGGAGCATCTTCCACCAAAGTTGACCTATGCCTCATCAAGCTTACGCTGATGGACCTTACGTACAATATCAAATTGACCAACTGAGTCTGGAATTTACAGTGAGGTATCTCTAGGAATTTGCCAAACCATCTCGCCACCGTCAAAGCACACCCCATCTGAAATACCGGCCTTGGCGTACCTCCATACTCGGAACTAAGGAAAGTACCATCGACAACAATAATAGGCCTACAATGATTCTACCCTTTAATTGAAGCATTAAGATAAACAGACACTTTTATCTCTGAAAGTTTCGCCGGCCGCAATTTCAATATTCATGCATCCATCGACCAAAACTCCAAGTGTTAGGAGTGTTTATTTATCGTTTATCTTCCGTATACTTTACTATTTTCAACATAGTCTGCAGCTGGTTCAGCGATTCCTCTATAAAATCATCGTCTTCCGAATCTTCTCGAGAACACATGTTCCTGAAAATAAACAATTTTTCACCCGAGATAAACAACATATAAACATTTCTAAAAAATGCGATATACTTATAACATTAAAACATATAACATGATAACGAAATTGCAAACATGTTTCACCAAAGTGCAATAACAGTTGAACAAATCATCCTGTATGTCCTACAATAAATAGATCTGAAAGAGACAACTTTAAAAAAAAAATAATAAAGTATGACATAATATTATGTCTAAGTTCAGTCCAAATACATATTACAAAATCATCTAATTAGTTATAGAATTATATAACAATAGTACACACAATTTACCTCAATGTACAAAAACAGTTGAATGTTCAACCTGTATATACCAACAATTCAATAAATTCGGACAATATAATTTACACCAATAACAAATAAATATGGACTCTAATTTGAATCCAAATAAATATAAAAGCTGAACATCTACTTAATATACTGTTACACCCCACAAAAATTCACAAACACATGCTTTGTAACAGTTAATTTAAAGTTTAAACACAACCAAAACAAAATGATGTACATATGAGGACATTTTGGGCTCACCCAAAAAAAATTAGAAAAAAAATGTTAATTCATAATATTCACAACAGATACATAATAATAATATTTTTTGAAATGTCCAAATAAATACAATTATATGTTCTCGCACCTTCTTCTTTTTGGTGTGTTCGAGCACCTTGTTTTCTTTTTCTTTGATTTTATGTTCATCCACAAAATCATCGTTGTCGTTCGACTCAACCTTGACGATCTTCGGGTTAGGTTTTTTGGAACGGCTTGGAGTATCCATTTTCTGAAATTGTAGCTTTTTTTTAACAACCTTGCGCACGGGATGTTGAAATTGAGTTTTGTGACGAGCTGGAGTGAGTAATCCTTGCTTCTTCTTCATTGTTTGCCTCAAATTTGGGTCGCTTTGCCATTATTAATTATTTTGCAGAGATGGATTTTTTTTTTCAGAGAGATGGGAGATGAGAGATGAGAGAATAATTCGGGTTGGTGAGAGATTTACTCTACACACTAAAACCGATATATGGAGAGAGAAGTGATTACTTCTTTTCTTTTCTTGAGTGCATAAGTTGGTACATTGCACGTTATCCGAAAATCATGCAGGAGATTTATTGAGTGTATATCATTAATTAAATATAATGACCTGATTAACGGTTAAGGAGGACCTAAAATAACTACTTGCATTCCTTAATTAATTATAATTGTTTGACATGTACGTAATATTGATAAAAAGATTTAGTAATCGTATTTTTGCTATTATTTTGATAAGGAATAGTACAGTAGGTAATTTTCTCAAATTAATTCAACTATTCATAGGCCTAAAAGATTTCGGATTTCTTTTTGGGTTTTGGACTGTTTCCGTTACTTGGGCCGGACTGAATTATAAGGTGGATGGCGTCAAGGGAATAAAGGACACTGCTTATTCGTTCTAAAATTTTCTTTACTCTACTGCAATAGCGCTATGATTATTCCATACCTAGCCCCCTTTTTTTATTTTCATAACCGACTGAGATAAGTAAGCAGTTATACACTCATTTTTCTTTTTCCTTTTTTCCTTTTCCTTTTCCTTTTTTTTCTCTCTCTCACATTTTCTCTCAATTTTTCTCGTGAAACTTCTTTATTTTTTTCTTTCCTCAATCTTTTTCCTTCGTTCTTCTCAAACGTGCAGACCATAAAACCCTGATTATTTCTCAATTGTTGCTTCGATTTATTACCCTTAAACATACTCACATAAAATGCTCTTCCTCCAAAACTCCCAATTCATTTATTCTCGCTGCCCTTAGAACTATTTGTAATAAAAAAGGACAGGCTGCGCATGTGACGGCGGTAACTGTCAGACTCTGCTAGTGAGCGGCGAATGGCTTGCCGACAGACCGCGAATTGGCGGTTCGTACAACATCCCGTGATAATTGAAGGCGATGGTTGGCGGATTATGCAGATCGGCGACGACAGACCGATGCCGGATGGACTGCCCCAATCTAAGTGTGCGGCCCTTTTTCTGAGTGGCGACAACCAGCGAACAGATATCGAGGATGTTGTGTTTTTCTTAATTATCTTTATGTTGCTTTCTTGTTATGGGTGATTATTGGATGGTAATTTTTTTTTTGGTTATTGTTGTGTTGATTTCTTGTTAGGGTGATTATTGTTACGGGGACTATTGTTATGTTGATTTTTTTGTTGTTTTAGCATTCAATATTTCATAAATTTGTTATAAAAACCTACGTTCTAATTTTTTTATTGTTAATAGAAATTATTTTGTTGGTACGATATCTAATTTGTTATGATCTATAAATTGTATTATTAATTTTTTAGTTACAATAACAAATCTTTTGTATTATTTTTTAGCTAATTTAATTGTGATGTTTCAATATAAATTATCCAATTGATCAATAAATAGTTATGTATATAAATTATCTGATATTTTATTCTCTATAAATAAAGTGTATAATTGGTTAAATAAATAAAGCTTGGTATTTACACGGATAATGGAGTGAGAGTGAGAATTGAAACGGTTCCATCACATCCACGATTGAAAAGAATTGGGGCATTTTTGGAATGCTCTCTCACTAGTCTCTTTTATGTAATATTTTTCTTTAAGCTGTTCAGTTTTGTATTTTCGCCGGCGTCAAGGTTTTCAAATTGTTTCAATACGGCCCAAATGTTTGTTGCATTTGAAACCAATCAAAATAAAACAATTAATTAATTGGGCTAAAATCAAATATGCTTGAATTAAAAATAAAATGAAAGATGGTGCGTGGAAGGAACGGTTCATCTCAAAACACGTGGGTTTATAGCCATTTTCCGGCACCAAGTGACAAAGTTACCACTCGTTATTTATTTCTCTTAATAATTAAATAAACGAGATAAGCCGAGCTCAAACTTTTGAGAATCGAGCTCGGGTTTAAAATGTACGTGTATTCCACCCTATATTCTCTTCCTTTAAGGTTAGTTTGATTGGGCTGATAGGGTATGATATTATACTGTTTGTTATTCTATCAATACGGTTATTGTGTTTGGTTGAACTGGTTTGGGCCCTGAAAAATGAGCATGGCCCGGTTAGTTATCATTTAACTTGTTTATATGCTATCATGCTATGATGTTGGGATACCTTAGAGCATCTTTACTAGGGAGGTTTTGAGTGAGGTTTGAATTTACAAACCTTTAGCTTTTCCACTAAAGAAGACAACTTTAAGGTTTACAAACATAAACCGGCGTTCTCTTTGTAAACCTTTAGCAAACCTTGTTTAAAATTATTTTTTTAAAACAAAAAAAGTGCTAAAGAAAGCAATTGGGGTTCACGAAGTATGAGAACATACCTTTTTTCAAGCGCGTGAATGGAACAATACCATCTTGGCGTGAGAGTGCTTGGGCCCACTAGTTGGAAAGGCCATGGCAGTTATTTGATTTTCCTCAATGTAGTTTTGTTTAATTTTATTATTTATTTTTTGTTATTTATCAATTTGTACACTTATTTAATAAGTTAATGACTGAAAATTAAAGTTATAAATTTTTTATTATTAAAAATTAAAAAACACTTAATCTTCTAAGATGATTAATTTTTATTGAACAAATATGATAATATATTATTTAGAAAAAAATTTACTCAAATTTTAATTTTTAACATTATGTAAGTTCTGTGTCTTGTAATTTCTAAGTAAAACTTTATATTGGTACATACTTAACACTCTATAATTATAAATAATGTATATTATTTTTTATATGTATTTATGATAAATATATAAAACATTTAGATTGAATAGAAATAAAATAGAGTTATAATTTTAAAATATTAATAAAAATATAAGAGTATAATATTAATTAAATGTAAATAGAAATATGTGGGACCCATCAAAAGAGAAATTTATGAAGTTTATTGTTATTGGAGGTCTATATGTGTAGAGGTTTTGGATGATGTAGCGTGTTGGAAAACGTAAAAGGAAGTTTACGGAGAGTGGTTGTTAAAGTTCTCTTATACGCCCAAATTAAAAATCCCAAAATATCCCCAAATTTTCTTTCTTTATTTTCTCTTTCATCCGTCCCTCCATCTTCTTGCTTTCCTTCTTCCTCTTCTTCTTCTTTTTCTTTCTATTTTCTTCTTCTCCTTTTTTTTTCAAAAAAAAAAAAAATCATGAAGCAACACACGATGCTTTAGTTGGAATTTGGTGGATTTTGAGTTCCGTCAAGCAAGTCGCCGGCGGAGTAGAAGAGGGCCTCGGTGTCCTAAAGCCAGATGCGGCGAGCCTCGTCGCCGGAAAGTGGCGCCTCGAACAAGCGGTACTTCGTCGCCGGCCTCTTACTCCTCTTGCTCCTCGTCTTTTCTGACCAAGCCCTAGATTTGTTTTTTCGTTCATTTTTTTCTTCTTTGCTCAACCATTTATGGAAGAATTTGTAAAACTGATGTTGTTTCTAACAATTTTTATGTATAAATTGCTTCAAGTTTATGGCAGCCTAGGATTTGCGATGTGTAGAACTTGCGGTGCAGTTTGATGCAGTGCTAATACATCTGAGAATTCCTAATTTTCCCAAACTCATTTTCTAAATTGTTTGAATAATTTTGGAAATTTAATTTGAAATGGATAGAAGAGTAATTTCAACCTGAATCCAATTCTAAACCAAACAAGTTAATATTCTAACTAAGTAGATAGATGGCCTTTGAAACAATAAAAAAGATTATATCATGCTCAATCAATTATTTCAACTAAACTGACCCTTAAGGGCTTATATGAATGAGAACTCAATACTTTTAGTTGTAACTGAATACATTGTTCGAGGTTCAAGAATTTCTACCTGGCAAGTCATATCTAGTGCTGTTAAATTAAATGAATTTGGTTTGACCCGACTTGAGATCTTAATGAGCCGAGTTTGAGTTCATTTAAAACTCGTTTGGTTGACGAATCGAGCTCGGCTTGACTCTATAAGGCTCGAAAAGAATTTTTTTATATAATTTTCTATATATCGGTTCATTAAAATTCGAGATCGGCTCGAACTCGGTTCGTTAATAGTAATAATATATTATTACATAACTCAAAGCTTTTGTTCAATGTTTTACTTTGTAGAGCTTATCAAATTTATGATTTTCAGTTCGGTCAAACAACTGTTTCGTCATGTTTTTCCAGTTAATCAACTCAAAGTCATAACAATATTTCCAATTTTCCAGCCATCACCGTGCAACTTATACATAGTTAATTAATAAATTATATAAATAATAAAAATACACACATTGCATGACATATAAAATACACATCGTATTTATGCATATCATATTTGTATAATAGGAAATTTTTTAATAAAAATCACCACGTCTTCTTCAATTTATAATATAATCACAGCTTTTCAATTATAACAATTTAAAAAAGAATTTTATAATTTTCTAAAATTGAGACATGGATATAGGTTTTAATAAACTATGTCTCATAGTATTTTTAAATATTAGTTGAAGTTGAACTACAAGTAAAACAATAGCAAAAGCAAATAGCAAACATAATTCCAAGTTTGCAACAAAAACATTTGAATGATACAGATGGATCTGGGCTGAAATAGTTATGGATCTACTTTGTACGTGAAGGCCCTATGATAAGGTTACTCTATAGAATATGATTAAGTATGATCAAACTTTAGTCTTGTATAACTTAGGGCATGCTTGTTTATGAGTTAATTTACTCACTTTTATCTCATACTCAAAATATAGCTCAACTTTAATTCAATCCTATTATCTTTAATATTATTAATGTAATTACATAATACAAATAAATCATTATTACACATCACATCAACTTTAATTTACTATTCATCAACTCACATAGTTTTAACTACCTATCGTTTTCGATCATTTCCAATCATTTATCTTCTACTTTTACATCAAATCAGTATTAATCATTTTATATAAATATTATTTTAATACATTCTTAAAATTCCACTAACAACTAACTATACCATATTTTCTAAAATTAACTATGGTCAACCAAAATAATTTATTTTGAACAAATTATTTCATAAACAATCAAGCCCTTAGACGACAAGAATAGTAAATGGTTGTTTTGTAGTTGGTTTTTATTTTATTGTCCATGTTTAAGTTGCATACGGTGTAAATTGCAAATTTTGTAATTTTTAACTTCTTGAGTCGTGCCTAAATCT